TTAAACAGAGCTATACAGTATATCAATAATTACGCATATGCCTACGTTTACAGTACACTCTGTATCGTACTGTAAACGTAGGGTTATAACATATATATATATATATATATATATATATATATATATATATATATATATATATATATACGATGCAATGAGAACGAATGTAATATATAAATTCTAATTCTAACGTTCACGGCATTATTCCAAAAGCGTGCTCGATAACGAGAGTAGAGCAATATTTTGGGTTGTCACAAGTCGAAGTGCAATTGAAATTCACCGAAACGAATTTGCATCTTTGTAGTAAGTAAACTGTTTTTATGATATATATATAATATATATATATATATATATATATATATATATATATACCATATTTCACTTTCCTAAATAAGTCTACACTGAAACAAACGATACATTCTTCAATTTGGTCCTGGTCGAAGAACTTCTCCCATGCAGGAAAATGGCCCAGATGCTTAAGCAGTATTACTTCGTAGGTGAAAGATAAGATGAATATGCAATATAGTCTCCATCTCCAAATTGATTAAACTTTGTTTATTTGTTCTGGTTGCTTTTTAATACTAAGACTGAATTGCAGTGTTCAATGTAAGCACCCATGCGGGGGCCTTTTCTACAGAGTAGTAGGCCTTGAGACAAAAATACTGACTGGAATTTTCCTCTTACGTATGGAGCACAGAGGAAATCAGGGTGTTCCAACTCTGTGGAAAAGATATGACGTATCCTAACTGTAAAGGTCCGAACTGGTAGAAGTATAGACTGGAGGAGATGCTCATCTGGACATATGCCATGGAAAGAGTCTGAAGGAAAGAGGTTGTAGAGTGGGAAATAAGTCTTCCTCCACAAAGCCATGTAAACGATTTTGAATTCTAGCAAAACTAGAAAGTAAGATTTATGTCTGAATTTCTGAATTGTTTATACTGTTTATATTTAGACTATAGTCCTCATCTTTGTTGTTGTTATCCCAAAGTTTCGGCCCTCTTCCAATGTATATTGATCTGGATAACAGCTACAACCTAATCAGCAGGTAGGTTAGGCTTAAAGCTCCACGTTCACTACAGGACAATGGCCTGGCGTTGGTTTGTGAAATGTTGATATAGTGGTTGTGAGTTCAATCTCTGGGTCGGGCAGTGTGTACTCAACAGTACTGAATAAAAATGAGACTTATCCCTAGATATGAACAATGAAACGAGAACAGTCTATCTCCGCAGATTAAATAAAGGGTTCAGTTCAGAGTTCCCTGTTGGTTACCCAGATGGATATACACCTGAGGAATGGCATAAGGGTCGAAACGTTTTGCTAACAACAAAGATGATGCCAATTGTCTGAATATAAATAACGTAAATAGAAAGTAAGGATTGAGCATCACCAACCCAGATATGACAGCAATATTCTCCTTTTAATATAATCTAACTCTTATAAAAAAAAAAAAAATAAAGAAAAAAAAACATCCTGCCCCGCGAGGAGGTAAGGTAAATATCCTTGCTTCGGGAATTAGTTGGAAATTCGTCTCCAGCTACGGGCTCGGTTTTGCCCCACATTAAAAAACGGCCTTGTGCCACATCATGCATCGCGAGGAGGTAAGATAAATAACCGTTTTTTTACGGTATCTACGGGGAATTTTTGCCCGAGCCAACAGGCTCGGTTTTAACCCCGAATTAAAAACGTCCTTGTGCCACATCCTGCCACGCGGGGAGGGGGGTGGTTAAGGTAAATATTCTTGCTTCGTCAA